AGGTTTAATAATGTACATTTTGATTCAACTTAGGTTTAAACATAASCAATAAGTAATATTTTATTATCATAGTTTTTTCCTCAGAGGCCTCAAGGTATTGTCATATTTTTAAAGAATTTGTTGGACACGCATTGCAAAAAACATGCCAAAAGTCACATACCTTTGGATAGTGTGATATATGGACTAACATGCCTTTACTCTCGGCAACTTGTAACAGTGCCTGTACTTTTGATAACTGTTTTCCTGGAGCCTGGATGACTGGAGTGGCTACTGGAGCMCCAGGTGCCCTGTTTAACACCCCTGGTTGTGGGGGTTCTGGTTYKTCKTCCTTTACTGGGACGACAGGAGTGACTACMGGACAGCCAAACTGCTTGGCTARCTCTGGAACCATTGGTAACAAGCCTGGYTTGAGCTGACGRCCCTGACCACTGTTTTGATCACTTGTTCCRGAAGTCCCATTTAGTGATCCCTGAAAAGAACAAGACATCAAAACAAGAAAGAAAGAACAAAAAATCTTAATAATATGATCCAACTATTATAACAATGTAATAAAACTTTTGAAAGATTATTTAAATTACCCACTAGCCTGAAGTTACATCTACGATAGTGGGTACTTTATAGCACTCTTCTACTTTATAAATAAGATCTTTCTTTGCAAGATTTGATTTATAATTTCTTCAAACCAAAGAGAGATAATACAATCAAATGAAACTGCATGAAGACTTGTATTTCATAGCACACAGGCCAGTTACACAAAATMAATGCTGGATAAAGTTGTTTGCCAGATAAACTTATTTCTCTTTAGATAYTGTATGGATTTTATTCACTAGATGGGGATTCATAAAGTTAATAGGGCTATCCACCCTTTGTACAATCAACTCCCGTACTCTAATCTGCTGTTTACGAAATGCAACAATTCATATTTCATATAATTATCTAAAAAATACCTATATTTCTCCATTACGTAAACTTGTTATTTTCACTAGTGAAAACAATACATTCATGGTATCTCTATGTATTTGAGGTAAATAAAAGTACTATTTTTAAAACATAATTTGCTTGATAATTATATGATAAACAGAATATTACATGGTCACTTGGAGTTATAAATTTTATCTTCTCATGTTGAAAATCACTCACATGTGAGAGATCTTTTCAACACTCGAAGATAAAATCTATATCAGTGCACACCCATGTAATATCCTCTATATAAATGATACTTTAGCACACCTGCTGCTTTAGTTTCTCTTCCTTTGTAGGCCTAAAACCCATCAATACAAGCATAGCTTCAGCTGCATTCYTCTTAGCCGTCTTCTTATTTGAGCCCTCACCAGTAGCTTGATGCTTGCCAACAGTTACTTGAAGGACAAACTTTTTCTCTGTCAAATGACCTCGTTCCTCCACCAGACTATAGACAGGTGCCGGCTCATGACGACCTTGCAGAATTTGCCCAAGTATACTAATAGGATTCATTGTTGGATCAAGATCAGACTTTGGCTTTGGTTTGTTTCTCTTGGGTCCATTACGCTTGAGATAGTGGCCATTTTTCTGCCTTTTCAAGTCTGATTCAGGAATCTCAGGTAGTTTTTTCAACTCTKCCAGCATTTTTATAGCCGCTTCTTTTTTGGCATCTTTCTTTCTCATACCTTCCCCTTCAACTACAAAGTCCCCAACTGTTGCTCTTACGAGGAACTTCTTCATGTGAGCRGGACCAAYGTTATTGACATCTGCAAAATCAACAAGCAGTTTTCTTTTGGTGGCCTCTTCATATACAAGGCTTATCTCYGATTTGACATTTTCTTGCTCTTCTGCCTCTGTTGCGCTGCCTTCTACWGGAGCACTAAGATCAGAATCGGTTGCATCCGTACCATTCAGGACTTTTTCTTCAGAACAGAGTTTAGCTTGTAGCTCYTGCCGTAGCTCCTCTGATGCCTTTTTAGCTGCATTATGTCGTGCCTGTTGCTTGTCTCGYCCCTCACCAATATATTCCTGTTCGCCGACAGTTAGAGATACCCTCATCATACGAGGTGCCTGACGWGGGTAATACATTGAATTGTACTGGTTATAAGGTCGTTGTTGCATTCCATAATTCATTTGGTTAAAGCCCTGGTGCTGCATATTTGACATACCACGGAAACCTGGACTCATGTGACGTGGGATCTGTGCTGGAAATTGCCCATGTGTGTGTGAGGGTAGAGGCTTGGGTGGCAGATCTCTGTATTGGGTTGGCTTCCCAAGTTTCATGGCCAGTCCATTGAGCTCTACTGTAGGAGTTAAATTGACTGGTGGTTTGGTAACAGCTTTCTCAGGAAGGCAAAGACCGCAATTCTCGAGGCCTTTACCAGCAGCTGCATGCTTYGCTTCCTTGATGGAATTGCCAGTGGCTTCCCAGTGTCCCACTTCTCCCAAACGGAGTTCAACTTTAAAGGTCTTTTTGTGAGCCGGKCCAGTCTCTTCAAGGACTTTGTACTCTGGTTCRAGATTGTTGGCCTTAGCAAGTTCGTTCATTAAGCTTATCGGCGTTTTTTGAGACATTTTGTACCACCAACAGACAAATTTCAGAACGACAACGTGCTGACAAACAACGGCCGACTGAAACTCGAAGCTCAACCTCTTATCTTCAAAGACAAATTTTTCGACACAGACAAACTCCGACACAGCGAAAACACGACCAAAATAAATATTAGAGTTTATACTAAAGAGTGGTACGGAGAAACGGGAATGAGACCTCACACTTTTGAAGGAAACGCCGGATTTTCTTCAAAAATGGGTTAGAACTTCTCCACGCTGAGGTCTAGCTCTCGTTTGCGTCACTCGACAAGAAATCCCGACAGGCTTTACTTGCTTCGACAGCCTCGATCTGAATCCATGGAAACACAGGTATCCCAATAAGCTGACATCATACTTTGGTTCTTTTAGACTTACCTTTATTTCCGATATTTGCTTAGTTTGTACTATGTATAGAAAATTTGAATGATTTCCTTTTTTCGTGCGTTTTAACCCTACTAGATGCACACACATAGATACGCGTCCAGGGGGGGGGGGGGGGGGGGGGGCGACATGCACCGTACACCCCTTACTTCCGCAGAGAACAAGGATTGTGCTCGATTTCAAGTATATTTATACAGATTCAAGTAGGGGCCGGTCATATGAGCAAGTGAAATTTTTCACTTGTAAATGTGCATATTCAGGGACGTGGCGAACGCCTGAAATCAGTAATTTTTTTTATGGGGGGGGTGGGGTGGGTGAGGGGGGTGAGAGATCATATTAAAAAGCTTGGAACATACATTTAGCCAGTTTTATTCATTAATTCTCTCGTGCATTTTTCACACAATGATTTTTACTCATTTGATACACAAATATTGGATCAATCATTATCTCCAGCAGCGTTCACACTKATAAGGAATGTTAGACTGCATTTGTCTGGGTGTGTTCATTGTATGGTATGTGACTGAAAGCGTGAGGATTTTTTTGCTATGTTTTTGCAAATCATTTAAATCAGTTTRAACGCATTTTGTCCACAGAGAGCTACCAACTCTGCTATTTACTTCAGTCGAACCCCGCCTTTACGGCCACCCGCTTAAAACAGCATCCAGTTAATACGGCCATTTTTCACGGTATCTAAAAAATCGTATAGCTATAGTCAGTTTGAAGGGAGAAGGACCGGGTAGTTCGAAGCCCGACTAGCTATAATCCAGGGTTACCTCCATAGGTGTTTTTAAGATTTAACACAGGATTAGAGTAATCGAGCTTGAACAACCCCGGCACTCAGTGTAAGAGGTTGACTCTTATAGGYCTTTTCTGAAGTAGCAATTTGCATTGCATTGTGGTCGGTTCAGTAAAAACATCTTTTGTTCAGTTTGTGCTGAAGCTAGACCACAATGCACTATGATCTTGTATTTCAAAAAAGGTCTAAGAGGATTGCTTTTAAAAATCTACAAAATTTTGCAAATTTTGTATAAGGATGCGCGTAGACAATTACGTGTACTGAAAAWCAGTTTTCACAAAGTTTTTTTGTGTGCATGATTCTCAACTCTGCTTATGTAGATTAGATGATTTTGAGTGTATAAAAGCTATGGAACTGACAATGTCCTACAAACGGTATTGCATATATATCACTAAASTTTTGTGTGCGTCATTCTCAACTCTTTCTATTTTCGTCATTCAAATGCTGGTTGCGTAGATAYTCYGGTTCTTGTAGAGCTTTATCGTTAAAATCAAGTTCAATGTAGGCATAAGCCTGTATTGGCTTCACTGGCTTCTTATAATGATCCTGTGCTYTGGGYTTTGTTGGCGTATCACTCTTCAAACGCGGMCGGTCGTAAGCCGGGAAACCAAGTTCCGCATACTGCAAGTTACTTTCCTCACCCTTCCCCTCTTTGKTTTCAGGATTTGCTCCTTGGGAGGGTAGGGAGTGTCTTCTTTGTTGTAAATTCTTAGGAATGACGTCATCGTACTTTGGTTCTTCGTAGCATTGTTGTTCAGTGTGTTTTTCGATTTTCGTTTCTTGGGRCGATCCGTTGTCTTCTACCTTTTCGCTTTCTCCACTTTCGGTTCTGGGATGACTGGCATCAGAGAGAGATTCTTCGCTTCCCGAGGAGCTCTCGTCTAGGCGAGGCTTTAGAGAAGATAGGTCAAGTTCTGCGTAATCCGCGCGTTTTTCAGATTGTCCGCGCGCGTCGACCACGCGAAAGTCCGTGACGGGTTTGACAGTACATACGACAATTTCAGGGCAAGAACGGATGATTTCGCTGATCTCTGCGACACTGCGACCGGCCAGTTCAATTCCATTTACATCTAGAATTTGATCACCTAGAACGAAGTGAATTTGTTAGAAAAAATCACAATTTCACACAATGACATTAGAATCTATAACTGAAAAAAATCAAAAATTTCAAAATCAAAAAGTGAAGCAACCACGCATTCACATCCAGCCAACCAAATAACCTACCAACCCATTAATCAACAAAACAACCGACACACTGACAAAACACCAACAAAACCAAAACGMACAACGACCAACCAACCAAGCTTTTAATGAACACCGACCTATCAGCAAAACGAAAAAACAGCCAACCAAMCAAACAAACGACCAAAAGCTATAGCAAAAGTCGAAAAAGATGAACAACCAACAGCCAAGCAAACAACAAAATGATAAATCGACCAAATGCAAACAGGTGATCAACAAGTAAAGAACAAACGTACCGACTACCATACCTAAGTAACGCCGTATATTCGTTAACGGAATCAAATTATACTAGTCAAAGCCAATATATACTTATTCACAAATTCAAGTTACTAGATTTTTTTATAAGGGTTAAGTTCAACGCGTATGTTGTGACCGGGAGTTGCGCGACCGTTGTAACATAAAGCCCAATTTTCTTTCTTTCACAATTCTCAGCTTCTTGGTGGACAATTTCCGCAGGTTGAAGGTCGATAAAAGCTTTAGTTTTTTTCATCCGTAGTTTACGGCTTTTTGTCAAAATTATAGTAATAATACACCGTTCYCAAAAGCCTCCGATATCATCTGCTTATCGTAAAAAGAACGAAAAACAAATTTAATTCCAACTAAAACGTGYTTTTTTAACACTAGGCTAGAACAGACTCTMTTTCCATGCAAAACTGGACTATAAGACATACTTTTTTGCACAATGCCAAATAATGCGAAGGAAAGAYTGGATTGTTGGAAAAAGCGGCTTTACAGCGAGAAATCTCGTAAAGTGTCTGAAGCACACTTCTTGAAAGCGGCTAAAAAGATCAAGACGATCGTGAGATAACATCAATTTGATAAGAAATCGCCTTATGAAGTTTATTTATAATTTTCCATTTTCGGAGCCTTTGAGTCGTCGTACTGTTATCAGATGGACTGTTTTGATGCAAATACTAGGATAAAGAAAATCACGGGGACCCACCCTCTGTGTATTCAACAGGGGCGGTGTTTTTGGCTCGCATATCTCAAAGAAAGGTTCCCCTTTATATACCCGACTTTATCTGAATATGAGCGCATAGGGAGACATCTGAATATTATCAGTATTGATATAAACTATATATAGAAATGATGAAACGAGTCGATAATTTTTGAATTGAAAATCTCTAAATTACTAAATTTGGCATGCAAGGGGCTGATGGCTACAATTGTAGGCTACCAGTAGCTCAGCTCAGKGAATCATTGCACTCTATCTAACTATTTTATCCTAATTCAACAAAATATTTCCTCAATAAGCTGCTAACACTTCTGACATATAAAAAACACTTTAAGGATTTACCATATATAGTAATTAATTATGAAGATTATTAATACATGACTATTTATAGCACTTGAAAACGAAAACACTTGTATTGTGACCACTGAATTTTTGAAATTCACTTGCCAGTTTATTTTCTGGGACTTGACTTGATTAGTATAAAAATTATTTAAGAATGCTTTCATTAAGATACATTCATATTACAAATTTCTTCTACTAATAAAATTTTGCATTCAAATAGCCAAATTAAGTAATTTTTTTTGTCTGAAACTTTGCAACAAAACTCCAAATCTAAGAAACTTTGAAAAAACTTCCAGTTTGTGATGCAAGGGTTTTTACTGTACTCCATCAATCTTCTAATCACTTCAAATTTCAATTTTGGGTTGCCTGTCCTCTTGGTTTATTTAAAGAATGCATGTACTCAATTCAGCAGATGTGAGATATGGTTCATGAAATGGGCCTACRAACCAGGCTAAATTAGGATACACAGTTTTCTACAATAGATTGTCACAAAATACACATTTCTGAGGTGGCCTGCTAAAAAAAGAAACATTGATAATCCATGTAGCAGATCACAATTACATGTAAGTGTCCTCAATGAATTCTTTGTCTTTCCCTAATAAAAGGACYCATAACTGTTTGAAAAGTTTGGAACAAGCAAATATTTCTGTCATGAACGTAAACATCTGGTTTGGGGTGTAACATGAGGGTGTGGCATGTGAGACAAATGAGTGAAGACCTATTTRACTAATGGGTTACCTTGTATATTATCACCCAATTTATACCCTTAGGAGTAATAGCTTTGTCTCTAAACGAACTTAACTCAAAATACACTGAAAATTGAAGCATACTTCAGACCAGTTTTAGTTGGGTGTAAATGTAAAATTTACATAATATTGGCACTCTTGTTCAAGAGTCTATGTTATGTAAAAAAAAAAAGAAAGAAAAATAGATAGATAGTCAGGTAGAGACAAAAAAGAAAGAAAAATAAAAAAAGGGAAAAAGGAAATGAGATTTGGGATTTTTTGTAGATTTACAGATTTTGATAAAATAAGAAGTGAGATTTACTCGATTTTGTTTTAGAACAGTTTCAAAAAATATGCAAACATAAAAAAAGCCTGAAGAGAAAGCCATTAGTTTTAGACAAATTCTAAAACAAACTATCGATCAAAGTGTTATTGAACTGTCACACTATAACGAAGACTCTTGAGGCGAATAGATATGCAAATTGTACAGCAAGAAGATTGACATATTGTATCATCGAGGTAATCTTCAAAGGTTCGGTATCAAAAGGACGCGACCTCAAGAGATAAGAACAAGCTCTCAAAAAATCTATCATGTCAAGAATTTTACAACACTTTGACATGGCACAAAAAAATAKCAAAACAATTGAGTAGATTTCTGGTCTTGTGGTCAATAAATTGCACTTCCCAGATCAATCATTTCGAACAGATGTTTGAATTATCCCTGAAAATACCGCAGAAAACCTCAAAGAAAAGCCTGAATATTAACCTTTCGCCACAAACTGAAATAGCGCTTCGACAGTAATTAAAAGTCTTTGTAATTTGAAGACAACTACAAACACCTTTTGACATCTCAAACAAGTTCCATTATTTCAAGTCAACTAGTCCAAATAAATTATTATTGCACGTAAAAAACACCTTTTGGAATGGTATTTATCTTGAAAGAAACTTCTAAGTTCTAGAAGATAACTTTCAAGTGCACTTCGGARTAACAAAGCGTGATCCTGGTGAGATCTTTAGGTAAACAATTAAAATATTTGAATGAAATCCTTGGAGTGCAAAACAGAGGCATTGTTTTGGAAGTGTTTTGAAAACTTACCAGGTCTTAAGGCTCCACTAGAAGAAACTGTTCCGTGCTCTAAAATACGGTTTACAAATATAATTCCCCCAACACTTTTGATGGTGCAACCGAGTCCTGAACCCTGTTTCCTTTCTATGGTTATCCGTTTCAGCCCGCCTGTTAGCTTCATGCTTTTTCTACGAATAGGGTCATTTTCCTCAAGATGTTGGTCTTTGTGTTGTGCATTCTTTATGGCTCTGATCCAAAGCTCACGATCAACCTCTGAAGCGCAATTGAAAACAAAAGTTCGACCATCAGCAACTAGTGTCAGACAAAACTTCTTCTTCTTCGTGGAGGTCTTGTCCAACGAAATTATGTCCATCAGAAATATTCTCTCCTTTGCTGTTTTTCCTTTTGTTTCGTGTCCTTCTTTCTTGAAGAAACATAAAGTCTCTGGATTAAGGACTAAAAATCTTTGCCTCCACTGTTTAAGTACAGTGCTCTTTTTTTGAACGATGCCTTTTCTCATGGCTTGCTTGTTAGTGACCATGTTGTTGTGACTTGCCATTTCGTGTATGACGACAATTTATACCGAGGCGTCAAGTACAGAGAAATGCCAGGGATTTCGAGAATATCCGCTTGGTGTTATTAAAAGATCGATGAAAGCAAAGGATAGCAAAGAAGTCATCAACTTGCGCTCGTATTTCCCCTAATTTACGTAATGCTTAGCTCGAGTGACTCGATCTCCGTACGACGTCAAAGGATCAAGACAGCTCAATATAAATTTTCAACTAGCGGCATTTCTGTTTCAGCTAAAGCCGGCGTAGATTTCCGCTAGAACTCTTAACACTGTGTTCCCCGAAAGCTTTCACTTAACTTCTCTCTAAGGCAATCTGTTCTGGTCTGCACGATATCCTCCTCTTCCTGAATGAGACACAAATCAAACATCACTTCCGCTTTCCCTACGAATGAAGTTTCGGATTTCATGACACGTGATCCGAACGTTGTTCGGAAGATCGTCATTAACTCGTCCAACATTCGGAATTCAAAATAGCCAAAAATAGAATATTCCGGATATTATGAGTACAATGTACTTGAACAAGGCGTAGGAGGGGCAGGTATATATATTTATATCAATTGTATTTAGATGTAATAGATGGTACTAATTCCATTTTTTGGTGTCATTTTTCTTGCACTGAAAAAATCATTATTTCCCAAATCACTCGAGACCTGATTATTAGAATTTTGTAAATTTAACATTTTAAAATACAAACTTAGAAATATAACTAAAACAAAATAATACCATATTGCACTAATCTTTGCACAAATTTAGAATTTCAAAACAATATTTTGCAGATATTTTGATAGAATTGATTCGTCTTTCATTGATGATATATATAGAGATAAGCTATTTCCCAGTGATGAACTCTTAATTGATTAACTTTTATTCGTCTATTTTTATCAACGTAACATGTAGTGTAGCCGTTTTTTAAAAAAATACTTTAATTGTAGTATTTTATATATTCGAATTTATCGAATTTAGACAGAAAACGGTAGGATATTTACTGAAATAAAATATAAATATCCCCGCCAACTTTTCGAAAATACAATCAGTATAAGCAGTTTATATAAGTATGAGTTTTTTAGAGTAAATCAGCAAAACAGGCATGTTTATTATGTTTATTTATATAAATTTGAAATTCTTAATGGCTTGAAATGCACACAAAAAAACTTCATTTCAATCCCGCGTACTACAGAGAGACCAAACAATAAAGTAATAATGCCGGCTCTGTGTTTACTTTAAGCTTCACCTAAAGGTCATGATAAAGACTGTTTTTAGTTAACATGATGACCGATCAACGTCACCACTTGGTGGCTTAATTGACAACTTTCACACATTTTGAGAGGAGATTAGAGACCCCTGCTTTGAATTTTTTTCCCTTGTTAAGCTCCTCGTGTAGCAGCCTGGGTAGTTTTTTCTGGGTAGTTTTTTTTGTGTACTCTTCGAGAAAAGAAAACAAAAAAAAGAAACCAGCCCATTAAAAGCATTAAAAACATTCATATAATTATTCTGGGTATTGCTTTCAAAAGCTGCACAACACAACCACCTTTTAACTGTTGACATTTTGAATTCTTTCCCACATCATTGAAAGGCATAAACCCAGATGGCTTGTAACTGGAGGTCAACAAGCTAAGAAAGGTGTATTGATGGGGAGTGCATTCTGTTGATTGACTAGTGCAATTTAGTTCAAGATGATATGCACTGTGAAATACAATAATCCTGGCCGGGAATCAGATCCTCTTCAAGTTTTAACATGCAATTCTGATCCCACAGCTCAGTCATGCTATATGGCAAACAGTACATACTAGTTTAAATGAAACAAATTTTTGCATATTTAGTGCAGATTTTCAAAGTTGTTAAGTGCAAATACTAAAAGTGCAAAAGTTAAAACAATATTAGTTAGTGCAATATTGTGCTGACTAGACAATAGAAAACAAAGGAATTTAGCTAAATCGGTATTAACTAATATTAAATTTTTTCATGTTTTTTGTGTGTCACTAATATTAAATTTTTTCATGTTTTTTGTGTTTCTACTCACTAATATTAAATTTTTTCATGTTTTTTGTGTGTTTCTACTCACTAATATTAAATTTTTTCATGTTTTTTGTGTGTTTCTACTCTAGCACAAAAACAATATAAAAAGAGTACTCCTATCTGTGAATTAGAATCACTAAGATTTTTTGTGCAAGTCACTGGTGAGAGTCACTGGTAAGCTACAATGATAGCAGCAACAGTGACAACAGCAGCAATACAACAACCTAGAGTCTGCAGTCTGAAAATCACTCAAAAAATTCATTCCAATAAGTCATTGTCACCTTTTTGATTACAATAAAAACAAGATCCTTTTTTTTACATTTGATTTTATTGAAATAAGTTCACAGCCTAAGAGGCCTGGGGTTGCTGATCTGATGGCATTGAGCGAATGATGTCTGAGTCGCCAGGGTCAGTAACACTAAGGACAGATACATGAAAGTATTTTCCACAAGCAGTACCAAGCTCAATATTATTGCCAGTGTAGTGGTGGACACCAGTTTTGGCCAGCATGGCATAGTACTCTATTTCACTCTTCCTGAAATTGGAAAATGTTTTGGTATTAAAAACAAGATTCTCACATTGGAACTATTTTTTTCARGTACCTATGATCATAGTTTCAGGGGTTTCAATAACAGGTAGCTACTACTGCTGGTATAGCACCTCATATTTCACCTCACAACG